TGAGGTTCCAGCTGAACGTCTACCGAAGGATGGGCACAATGGAGGGTCATGGGAACTTAGTACATAGGTCGATTATCGGGATAATTGTGAGTATAAGCTACTTACTAAGTCCCCATGACCCTCCAAGTGCACCGTACAGGTAGACCTCGTGGTTCGCTACTTGGCAAGCCAGAAAACAAGCCTTCGATGACCTTGCAGAGCACGTAGTCCAGCAGAACCACAAACACCTTGACACCATTCAACGATTTAGGGCTTCAGGCGTACCGAAACCTCCCAAATACCTAGCATACAAAACTCAAACTCCAAAATAGTGAGCAAATAGCCCATCATCTTGGACATTTGAGAAAACTGAATCAGGATCTGTGCACTGTAGCTCTTCCGGAACGTCGAGCTTCAGACATGCAAATAAGTGCAACCTAGAATTAACTCGAAACCTCAATCCTCAAACCCTGATTCCCCTGCCTTGGGCCCTGGACGTGGCCTCAACGGAAATGAATAAACCCTCAATAAAGAAATTTGGCCTTGCGTAGTTGAAGACCGTGTGCAGCGAGTAGAGATGGGATTGCGCAGGGTTTAAGCTGTACACAAAGCCATCCAACTGGCTGGGCCTGGCCTTCAGACCCCTTGAAGCAGCACCTCTAAAACAGCAGAGGGCGAGTAACATGAAAAGCAAAGAAATGGTGGCTCGTAATCCTGACAGTATCTTCTTAGAACTTGCGAACCCTATCTTTGACAACTAAAAGCCACCCATTGTGGTCAGCCCTCCATTGTTCTTATTTGAACTAGTTGGGAAGAAGAGTCCCATGTGCCCATGTTAGGGTTGATGAATAAGAATTCAATAAATTGAGCACACCGTGTGCCCTGCTACATGCAGGGCATTGGGTCTAGAGTATGAGTATAGGCTGCTGCATATGCGCCTTTCTTTCCAATTTCTGCCCCAAAACAATGCGAACCCCCCAAAATGGGATCCGCAACACTCACAAACGCCCGATGGAACCTAGAACCCTGCATACTGCACACGGCTTTGAACTCCCAAATTCTGAAACCTGCCAAAAAAAGTTATTCGCATACAGGTATGCACGTATACACGTATATGTAGAACACTGGGAGTGCGCCAGGGACCTCAGGGAAAAGAGATATAATTACCAGCGACCATGAGATTCTGCCAAATTAGGCGGACCGTTAAGGGGTTCCCACAAGAAGGCTTAAAGCATTTTTGGGTCTATATTAAACTCCCGTGTTTAGGGAAATTACCATTTACACAGACTCCCACAAGGGATGCTCATTCTCACTCCGCAACACTAGGACCTTACTTACTGTCATATCCTATAGGACCTAAGCCCTATACCCAACCACCCTACAACCCTCAGAGAATCCTGCTCTGAGCTAAGGGTCTAGGGTCTACGGTTTGGGGTTTAGATAAGTATGTTGCGAAACACTACTACTATCTTTAATCGTAGCTGAAGGAGGGCAAAGGCCATAACCTGGCTAACTTGTGCGTTTTCCGGCCTACAACCCCCATAAACCCCCACGGCAAAACCAGTTTCCATTTCATCGTCCATTTGATCCTCCATTATTGGACCCCTATACTCTGAAATCCTACACATACCTAAATATTGCCCTCCCCCCCTTCCGGCAAGATCCTCCAGTACCTCCCCTGAACCCTAAACCCCGAACCCTAAACGCTACTTGGAGGCCCATGGGACTTTTTGTCACCACTTATAACTGGGCTAATAACCCTAAGGTTATAATCCCAGTTATAAGTAGTTACTAAATCCCATGGGCCTCCAAGTAAACCCCGAACCGGTTCTGAGGACTCTTCGGCGGCTTCACTGCCAGATTCCGGAGAGAGCCGAGGCCTCAGCACAGCCCTTTTGAGGAAACCCCATGTTTGGCATCTAAGGTTAGGATGTAGGGTTGATGGGCTTAGAGTTTTAGAGTTGAAGGTATAATGCTCAGGGCTTCAGGGCTGTAGGATATAGAGGTTTGGGGTTTTCTGGGTATAGGCCCTGAACTCTGAACCCTAAACCCTCAAAACCCAAACCCTGAACCCCGGACCCTAAACCCTAAACCCTGAACCCTAAAACCCTAAACCCTAATTCCTCAAGAGATTCATGCCTCGTTCCCTGCCTTTTTCTGCTGCCTCTGTTGGGCAAACTGCGCTGCGCAATGACCATCCCTGAACAGCTTAAACCTTACTCAGGGTTTAAAGTTTAAGGTTTAGGGTTTAAGGTTTAGGGTTTAGGGTCTCAGGGTTTGAGGCATTGGGCCTACCGGGGCTTCAAAAGTAGTGGAAAAAGGAATCTAAAACCCCTAAAAACCTGGCTTGTAGAAAAGGCTGTTATTCTACATACTTTAGGGGTTCGCGTAGGACAAATGTGGCTGGAAAAGCACTTGCGGCCTAAACCCTAAATCCTAAACCCTAGACTTGTTGTTCAGGGATGGCATCCTTAAGCAGCTATTCCGAGCTTCAGACCGCTGGCTCAAGGCTTTGAGCATGAGGCAGCAAGTCAGAAGGAAGGGCTTAGGGTTTAGAATTGAGTTTTAGGCTAAGGTTTTATGGTTTAGGGTTTAGGGTTTGGGATTTAGGGTTTAAGGTTTAGGATTTAGGGTTCAGGATTTAGGCCTAAGGGTTTAGGGTTCAAGATTAGGGTTGAGGATAGTGTGCCCTCAGCATAGCCAGCATACAGAACCACTAAACCAAAAAACGCACTTGACAGTCTGAACACTTTGCGGAGTCCCTCGACGATTTCGGAGGAAAATCTGAATCTCCATGTGCCACCTAGACTAGAATAAGAACCTAACTCGAGAATCCTTAAGCCGTACCGACTTGATAGTGAACGTGATTTCTCGGTATGGCCCCACTTTAACGAAATCATGCCATCCGGTTCCGTCGGAGCTTTCCTCAGCTGATAGGGCTAACCCTCGTAAAAGTTCAACTTTTAGACTCCCAACTTTCTTACTTACCCTTACAGTCCAAGAGGAAATGTGAAGTAACCAAGTTTCTTTGGTCCTTAAGTCCCAAACGTTCCAAGCATGACTCTGCGGGAGGACGTTGATGCTGCAGTGCATGCTGCATGGCGCAGATGAGAACACGTAGATGGAAGCCCAACCATCACCTTAGCCAAGATCCCAGGGGCGAAGATCCCACTGTAGTTATAATTCTATACCCTAAGGGTCCAATGACCCAAATTTGAAGGTTGTAGGTCCAAAGCACCATTCAGATTAGGGCATTCGGGCCCTAAAGCCCCATACTTGAGTCCTTGGACCCTCAGGGATAGGGACAACCGGAAAACATCAGGAATGTATAGGATGGACCCAGTCACTGGCCGATGCAGCCCCCTTGGGGTAGTAAACCAACCACACTTCAATGCCCCAGCCCGGCAACTCAACTCTTGGACTCGTCCATGCCTGCTGGCCATTTTATAGCAATTTGGAGTTTAGGGCGAGGGGCTAGGATGTAGGGTTTGTGGTTAGAGCTTAGGGTTCAGGGTTTGAGGGTTTGGGAGTAGGGTTCAGGGTTTAAGGGAGACGTTTCTGTATGAACCACCAAGCAGGGTGAGGTTTAGGGGCTAGGATTTAGGGAGTAGTGGAGCTTAGGGTTCAGGATTTGAGGGCTTGGGTTAGGGTTCAGGGTTGAGGGGAGACTTTTCTGTGTGAACCACCACGTAGGGTGAGGTCGTGGTAGTTTGCCCACTGCCTGCCCTCTATTTGCCGCAGCGAAGTTTTCACCCTTGAGGTCCCAGGCGAAGCCGCGAACAGCACTCAAACTCTTGCTTTCAACTACTTTCCTTAGGTGTCCAGTGCCTAGGGCTTGTCCAAACTTAACCTTTTCGGTTCATATTGGGTTAACTCCAAACCCTACATCCAACCCCCTAAACCCTAAATCCCAAATGGTTCAAAGCTTATCCAGTGGAGGTAAGTTTCTTCTTGAGAAAATCATTAGCGATCTTGAGCTTGGAAATTCGTATCTTCATCGCCTGGCTTGCTGTTAAGGAAGTTAACCTAAATCACTATAATACGGATGTATAGGGTTTGTAGATATATCGGGTTAGGGTTTAGGGCTACTATAGTATGGAAAACCTATTACTTACTATGTAGCCAAACTATGGCAACTTAATTTAAGGAAACCCTACTATTTACTACGCCCCCGTAATTATTATGGTGACTTACTAAAATTCCCTAGCAGCAACCAAGTTGCGTCTCGGTGCTTGCGCAGTTGCTTCCTCAACTGTTGGCAGGTCTTGACAGTTACAGCACAGCTCTCAATCACCCCGTGCGCAGCATCCTCATTCCGGCGATCAATGCGGTATGCCAGCAGGTAGCTTTGCTGCGCCTCCTCCTTACCTGGGCCGCTGCTAAGGAACTTGAATTCATGGACCATCATGAGCAAACCCGTTCATTAGCACTATATATACACATACCATGGCAACTTAATCTCTATATGTATATATACACACACAGAATACTTAACCCAGATATAAGAAACTCCATAAGCCCCCCTAAAGGGCACCGTGCATTGAAACTTTCTTCATGCGGGTTCCTTAACCGCAGCCCAGTTACTCCCACATGCTGCAAAGCCCTGCGCTGCGATGATGGCGATCTTCGCGCCTTCCTCATGTCGACTGGCTGCCTCTTGAATCTACGATGCGGTTTAGGGTTTAGGATTCGGGGTCCTTGGATTAAGATTTAGGAATCCGGGTTTAGGGATGAAGGTTTAGGGTTTGTGGAACTTTCCCAGAAATTGGTACTTACTGCTCCTTGGGCGTTTATGATAAGCAATAATTCGAGATTGCTTTCGGGATACCCTTAGCCTGCAGCTGCTTCGCGAGAGTCACGCAAGATGGCGGCTTCAAGGCAAGAACATGGGCTTCAGCAAGCGACAGCCTTACTGGGGGTTAGTAGGGAATAAAGGAATACATGAAGATATATATATATATGCACCTACATATATATATATATAATGTGGACTGTATCGGAATTAGTTTCCCTTTTCCCTACTAACCACCAGCAAGCAGCTTGGGCAGCAGTTCCTCCGGCACATCGTCATGCTCCAAGAAGAGAAGCTTCAACAGAACATCTTCCTTGTCTAGCTTGCTATCCTCCAGGCGCTGAAGCAGTAGCTTCAGCAGCTGGCCCTGAACATCATAGTTCTCCTCATCAGCCGCAAAGGCTTCAGTCAACAGCCGCTCTTGCTCAGACGAATCAGCTGCACAACGCCTTGCCTGCTCTAACAAGAGCAGGGCCAGTGAGCGTGTACGCTCTCCAGCGTCTGCTGTTACACCAAGGTCGCAATTGAATACTTCCGTAGCAAGGGCTGCTGCATCCAGAGGGGCCTTCAACCAGGAGACTGCATTTGCCAGGAGCGTGTCCGGAATTATCGACAGGTCAGCCTCTACTTTGCACTGGAGAGCAGCCAAGACCAAGGAGGCTGCTCGCAACCAAATTCCAGGTTCGGCCGCGGAACTGAGCTCAAGCACAAACTGCCATAATGCCTTTGCTCCAGCAGCAGTAAGCGATTCGGCTGCCAACCTACATGCACGTTCTGCATCCAATACCTCGCGGCAGGGAAGCAGGCGCGACTTCCTTGCGGCTGCTTGGAGGCAGGCGATGCCTTCAGTGCTGCATGATGCCAACCGAGGAGCCACATCCCATGCCTTGAAGTTGGCTAACAGACTCATGACTGCATTGTCCTCTGAGTCCTCTGGCTGCGTCGGCAGTATGTCAATGAGCTCCTTAATGGCATCCCCTCGCAAGGCAGGAGGCAAACTGGCTCTCATCTGCAAAAGCTTCATGAGCTTAGCTTGCATTCCGCGGTCCCCAAGGCAGGGTTGGACAAAAGATTCCGCGCGACGCAGCAGTTGCAGAGCGCGGTCGCTGGAGAGGGATGAGACGATGGACATGATTTCCTGCACGGTCTTCTCCTTGTAGCACAAAATAGCTGCCTTCTTGTCATGGTTTGGGATGACCTGCAGTGCAAACGCGTGGAGGATATAGCCTCTCTAGCTCACGTACAAGCTCTAACGATGTCATGGATTCTAATCTGCTTCAATGAGGGGATACATTGCTGTTTAAATTGTGATGCTACACCCAGGCACATCAAAGTGATATGCTAGGGTTGGCCAGGGCCATTCAAGGGGATCCTTTGACACACCCAAACCCTACACCCTCCTTGTCACCCATATCTGAACTAGTCTTGGGGCTCTAAACTCTAAACATCCTGAACCATGAACCCTAAACCCTAAACCCTAACTACCCTACGTCCACCTTGTCACCCATATCTGCGTTAGTCTTGGGGCTCTTGGCCCGTCGCTTCAATGCTTCCTGGATGGCTTCGAGCTCGTAGGTAAATCCGTCCTTCAACGGTTTAGAGTTTACCTAAACCCCAAAAGTATGTAAAATGATGGCCTTTAGGGCTATTATTAGGGGTTTAGGGCAATTATTCTACCTACTTTTAGGGTTTAGGTAGGGCTTACGGTTTCTCTAAAGGATTTGGAACCCCAGTAGAAATTTTAATTTCAGCTAAATATTAGAATTCTAGGTAACAGAAATTTAAAAAAAAAAAAATGTTTTCAGGAACCTTGTAGGTTTAGGGTTTAGGAATTAGGGTTTAGGATTTAGGTTTAGGATTCGATTAGGGCTACCGTGTCAGGATGGATGGCACAAAGCATCCGGGGGTATATGAGGGATAACCCGAAGAAGTGCACGTGCAAAATTGCCCGTCGTCTTTGAGACAAGCTCATATGGGGCCATTGCCCAACTCCAGTACACGGAGCTGGCATACCAAGAGATCTCAAATGCACGCAAGGCAGGATTTGCATGTCTTGCCCCCCACCCGGCCAATAAAAAAGGGAATCCCACAGCACACTCATGAAAATATTGGAGGAACTGCATAAAACTTGAGCAAACCCTACCTTACAAAGGGATTTGATGCTCGTAAGACTTCCTAGGGGCGACATACCTAGACCCTAAAGCCTGCACCCACCACTCAAGGCCATGTACGGCTGAGCAATGTGGATTCAAGAGTGTTCGTTCGGCTCAATTATTCCATCTTCTCATAGTAAGGAAGCGGCTGGACACCGTGGTTCAGAGCTTAGAGCTTGAAAAAGCTAGCTTCAGAAGTTCAGGTCCTGCTCTTGCACCCCGGAACACACGGAGCCGTACTTTACACAAAGAGACAATGTGCCACAACTATAGACTATGGACACAGTAGCCGCACAAGTTCCCAACCCAGATTCAGAGATGCGATACACCCCAAACCCGAAACCCTAAGCCCAGGTATTGCGACAGCCAAGCTATTCAACAACAGCTTGCAACCTGCCTACGATGACCAGGCCTATGAGCAAAGAGAAGCGAAAACAAGCTCAGTCTTCCGCTTAGGGCTTAGGGATTTAGAGTTTAGAAGTAGGGTACACGAACCCTAAACCCTAAACCCTAAATCCTAAACCACTCTGACGAGCCGCCACCACCCTTTGACTCCGGATGATGGATAAAATCCTAAACCCTCAACCCTAAACCAAAAATCCTGCATGACCCCAATTATGAAATTAGGGTTTAGGGTTTAGGGTTTAGGGGTTAGGGTTTAGGGGTTAGGGTTTAGGGTTTAGGGGTTAGGGTTTAGGGTATTTAGGGTTTAGGGGTTTAGGGTATCACCATAATCCCGAGGGTTTAGGTGTTTCGGGTCATGCAGGATTGTCCATTCACAGTAGGGGCTACTGATCGAGATATCCATGCTCCCAAGCTACAAAGGACAAGCAACCTCGTTTAGAAGTGCCAACCCCTGAACCCACGCAAGCCAGAAATGCAACCATGAAAGCATGAGGTTTAGCATCCAGGGGTTGAGGGTTTAGACTTTAGGGTTTGGGGCTTGGGGTTGAGTTCCATTGGAATCCTCGCTCCTCCGCCAGAACTGGATGCTCCATCAAAGAGTGAAGGATGGGACACGCCAAATCATCTGGATCTGTCAAGAGTCGGTTCACCTCGTTGCAGCGGTGGTCTTTAAAGGCATAGTGGGCATATGATTTGTTAACATTATGGTTCTTGTTTAGACAGCCTAACTATTAGGGCCCGTACTATATAAGAGATCCCAATAAAAACGCCACACGTTCGACAACCCGCATAGCATGACCCGTACTACAGAGCCCTATACCCTTGGATTCTCCAGCTTCTATGTTACTTCTTTTCGCACTGACTCGCCTTTTTAAGCAAGCCACCAAAAACCCTGAACCCCACACGTCTTGCCAAACCCACTTCAGGATGAAAATCTCCTTCAACTAAAGGTTTAGGGTTTAGGGTTTAGGGCTAAAACTAGTCAGGTTCAGAATGTACGGTTTAGAGTTTAGGATTTAGTGTCGAGGGTTTGTACAGAAATCCTACGTAGATCTCAAGCAGTTCAATAACCTTGAAAACCCTCATCTTCATAGGCTCTTGTCACAATCTCAATACTGTCCACGTAAAATGATTGTCTTTTGGTCTGTTTATTCTTAAAAAATGTTGGGCCATTGGCGTACCTACTTTGGGGGTTTAGGTATCATCATCAGTTCAACCTGCGCCAAACAGGGACCTGTAATCTGTGCTGTTCTTTGCCAAGCCGGGTGGCCAACGAGTCCATGCAATCCTCCTCCTCCTCCTCCTCCGCAGGTTTTGTGTCAGTCGCCCCTCTGGAGCCAGCATCCTGCCAGAGACTTGCAGGTTTCCGCAGTTGAGGGGCCACTTCTGAGACGTTCCTATGACAAGGGGTTCCCTGTAAAGGGTACATAGTGCTTGTCACGGGTTCTTTTGTTGGACCTTGCTATTATAAAAGATACGTCCGGTTGGGGTACAAAATTTGGCCCCGATGACGGCAACCCCCAAAACAAGGTCTTAAACCCTCAGAAGCAGATCGCACTCTGGACTGCAAGTCGGGATTAGATTGGAGGAAGGAATATTCTGGTTTTTGCTTATTGCGGTGGATACGAGACACTCCTGCATGGCCTTACTAAACTAGCAGCGTTGAACGCTTTGGATTGAAGATTTAGGGTCTAGGGTTTTGGTCTCAATCTTTCATGACCCTAAGTTCGCCAACCTTTGGGAGTGTGTTGGATAGTCCCAGGAAACGTTTCCACTCTCTTCTTTTCTCCTTCGCCGCTGGAAGGAGGGTTGGCGGCGGCTACGTTTTTCTGGTGAGGGCCTGGGCTTCAGGGCAGTGGGGCCCGGCCGAGGGCCGTGAACCAGGCCACACAAGCCTTTGCAGGAGATTTTCTCAGGCACCTGCAGGACCTGGTACTGCTGGCGCGTTGCAAAAAAGCATGACAGAGAGCCTCTGATGCGGCTGCTACTTGGCCTGCTCGGGCCACGGGGCTTGGGTAGGCGAGGTGCTGAAAGGCTGACAATGATTTGCAGTGTTGCAGCACCTCGACAGCAACGTCACAGGCACCAAATGCCCACGTGCCGTAAGTCCTGCGGAGCCCTGGCAGCCTGGCTCGAACTTCTCTCGTTGTCTTATATGACTTCTGCTACAATTTTCCGTCTGGTCTCTGTCTCGTCTTACGGGGAGAGACTGCCTCTAGGGTCGGCGGGCGGCTTGAGCGGGAGGCTCATGAAATCCGGGAATTCCGTTAGGTCGAAATAAGGACAAGAAGACCCTCAAACCCAAAGAAACCCTCGAAGGTAGTGAGAACATGTCTTTGATTTGTTGGGCGCATCGGGATTCCGTTTTGGATTTTGGAAGGCGGCAAGGCCAGACCTGTGCCGCCAGGCCCGAAATACTTCATACCTCGAGGTTTGAGGCAAACCAATACAAGAAGGTCAGGCAGGATCTTTGATATCCGCAGTACCACCATCATACCCCGGTTCCCTACAAACCTGAAGCCTGGGCCTGAACCACCCTAAAAGCCAAACCCGAAACCTAGACAGCAAGAAAGCCTGGCAGTCAAGGATGAAAACTGCGGTGAATGGAGGAAATCTTGCACCACTTGAGCTATACTCTAAACTCCTAGTATCCCCCCTTAATATTACCCTATAGTAGTCCCCTATATAATCCCCTTTTTTCCCCCCTCTTAAGGAGTTTAGACTATAGCTCACTTGGGGCCCCAGCAATACTGCAACTACCTGTAGGCGCTTAGTTTGCTCGAGGGGATTCGGGCACATGAAGTCAGGAGAAATGCGACCAGGGCATCCTGGCATCCTGGAACCAGGTAGGATTTTTTTTTCGTTAGTGACCCATTTCAACCGCTTTCTGACCTCAAGGACGTACCTGAAATTAGAGGTCAAACGCCCTTGACCTGAAACCAAATGGCATCCTAAAGCATCCTACGACTTGCGATAAGGGTATACAGGGGTTATATACAAGGACTTGCTGTTCAGGGTCTACCTGAACCTCGAAAATAAGTAAAAGAATTCCCTAAAACCCCCCAAAAGATAATCCAGCAGCCCAGAATTTTACATGCTTTAGGGTCCCTGGGTTTTAGGGCTTAGACCTCACATCGGAACCCCCAGACCACCCCGCTGATCCACTCCTCTTCAGCAGAGTCAATCCGTCGCCGCTTCGCCAATGCAGCCACGACTCCATCTGCGCTGATTCCTAGATACCTCAGGGTCTAATTAGGGTTTAGTGTTGAGGGTTTAGGGTTTAGGGCTTAGGGTTTAGGGTTTAGGGTTTGGGGCTCAGGGTTTAGTGTTGAGGGTTTGGCCTTTAGGTTATAGGGTTTGGGGCGTACGGTTTATGGTAGAGACTTCGGGGCTCAACTTGCAGGCACCTGCCTTCTAGGGCCCTTGCACTTTCTCACTCAACATTTGAGGGGGGAAACGCAGCTGCGTTTCGGAACATGCTGGGTAGCACAGCAAAAGCAATGGCCATGATCCCAACGATGCGTAAGGCCAAGCGGAAGACTTTCCGTACTAACTCCCAGAAAAGCAAGAGCACGGGAGCCCTTTGACTTGAAACCCTAAACCCTGAGCATCTCTGAACTCAGGACGTCAAACCTGAGACGATTTTTTTAAGAATTTCCGTTCCTAACCCTGCGCACACGAAACGTATGATTCCTGCAGGATCCTCAGCATGTTTCCGACTCACACAGGTATAGGGGTTTCCCAAAATGAGGGGTACCATCTACGAGGTTATATGGGGATTATATAGGGGTTACATAGGGTTTAGGGTCTAGGGGCCAGGGTTTCCCCGAAGTTCGGGGTACCATTTTGGGGTCCCCATAACAAGGATTATAATATATTGGGGTCTATATTGGGGTCCCCGAAAAAGTACCATATGGATCATCTATCATCTATATATATATATTCTACACCCCAAAATCCGAAACCCGAGCAAAAACTCCTAAGTCCAAAACCTGAACTGGGACGTTGAGGTATTCGGGTGTACAGAGATGACCAGCTGCTCCTTCTCAAGGTTCCCGGGTGTAGAGAGCATAACTTTGCTGCTTTGCGGCTTAGGTTTTCGGGTTCAGGCTTTATCCGTACAGGTTTGAGGCAAGTCAGGGGCTTTTTCTTTCTTTAGGGACCAAGTTTTCGGGTCTGAGTTTTAGGGTTTAAGGTTTAGATGGTTTGGGATCCAGTACACAGACCTGATTAGTCATGTGATACTTATGAAATATAAGCCCTCAATTCGAGGTCAGTCCCAATTTCCAGGGTTGGGGTTGCCAAAACCCTCTTCATGGCTTAGCGTTTCAAGTTGATATTTGTGTCCCCGAGCTCTGATCCGTCTCGAAACCCGTAATCCCTAATCCCTAAACCCTTTTACAGGGATTCTGCTTCAGCGTCTGCATCCAAGGAACAGGCTCCGAAGACATGATGCCAGCGAACGGCAAACAATTGAATCGGTGGCGTTGTCAATGGGGAGTTCCTGAAAATCACAGCCTGAACCCTAAAAGTATGTAGAAAAATGGCCTTGTGGACTATTGTTATAGGTTGGGGACTATTATTCTACCTGCTTTTGGGGGTTTAGGAAACCCTTTTCTTTCGCGGACCTGAGAATGAGGACCATGCTAGGTGGAGGGTCTAAACTCTGAAGCCTAGACCTTGTCCTACTTCTTGACAAGTACTCAGAACAACGTGGCCTTGCGCCAGCGGATAGAGCCTAAATGGTGCGAAGCGCATAGAAACCTGTTTAGACGTTTAGGGTTTAGGGCTTAGGGTAGAAAATTTTCTACCTCTGGGCTTTGGGGTTCTGGGTATACCGTATCCCTCCGTCTTACGCAAGAAACTTGAGTTGTCAGACAAGCCTCAGATGGGATTGATCTAAAGGTCCTTTGGGGAAACAATTGCAAAGTGGCCATTGTGGCAACAGGAGCTTTGATCAAAGATAATATACACCTGAGCTCTTCTTTGAGCTTCTTGATCCACCGTAGGGCTTGTACAAACTGCGTCAAACTCACATTGTAATGCTGCCTGGACCTGGACCTAGGAAGATAGCTCGCCATGAAAGTGATTTTATGAATTCTCCTGACCACCATGTCCTGTCCAACCCGCCCTAGGTTACCCCTGAATGAACCTTAATCAGCCCTGATTATCCTTGAGCTGCCTTAATTAAGTGGGAACCCAGGCACAGTAGGAAGGGGGCGGGGTAGTAGAGGGATCCATTGGATGACTTTGTAATGAACCCTAAACCCTAACCCTTCTTGTCAGTCTTGTAAGTCATGGGTTGCCTTTGGGAAGACCCTGTCATCTGCATCATATTGTTTACATGGGAACCCTTGCCCTTTTCATCATTATCACGCTATGATTGGTAGAGTCTTAGGGACCTCTCACATTGGGCGGATCCCCTAGGAAGGACTCCTCCAAGGGAATGGTGAGTTTCTTGGAACTCTGGGGACCTACCTGAAGAATTCCCACACCCCAACCCTAAAACCTGAAGAATTCCTAAACCCTGAAGCCCTAAATCAGCTGGGGTTTATAGCTGATCGTTCTCGGGCTTGCGGTTATTGCGGATGCTCGGATATCGCACGTTAGCCGTTGATCCTATCTGGCCTGGAACTTTCACTTACTGCACGTATATTTCGAAACACTCGCGTGATGTATAAACGATAACTAAAGGGGGTATAAGTTCTAAACTGCCCCCATAACTTGAGTGCTTGACTACCAAGACCCTCACACGCAGACACAGATTGTAGCTGCTTCTTGGAGGTTTAACTTCGAATTAGCAACATCCAACATCCATTCTCAGGATTTACGTAATTCATGCGCAACCCTGACTCGCGAGCCGTTTCTGTCAAGTTGCTGGCGGTTAGGAGGGAATATGAAGGAACGGAACTGTTGTCCATAGTTGATCCTTCATGGCACCTACTAATCACCTCCCCCCAATTATGTATACCACCACAAAACAACTATTCTCCCTAATGTATATGTAAAGGTACTGTTGTATTGAAAATATTCAGAAATTCATGATTAAGGGGACCCGGGGGGTTCTATTAGGGGGAGGGGATTCACCACCAATAAATCAAGGCATCCGCAGCTCCCTCTTCAAGAACATGGAGCCTTTGGGCTGTCAAGCTTCCCTAAAGCTCTAATGTCAGAAGCAGCCGGTTACTGACCTATGAAGTGTAGGGAATGTCATGAGGTTTGTCACCAGCGTGTACCAAAATATCTACTGACATGGAGCCTTAGGACTTGCAGCAGGGCCAGTCTACAATTAGTAGAGGCACTTAATGCAAGAGTGCTTGAGCTGCACCGACTTCACGACGATTGTGATTTCTTGGCAGGGCCCTTCTTCGATGAAGTTGTCAAACCCCTTCCGTGCGCCAACAGGATGGCCAGCAAGCACGTCCATGTCATCCCATTCCTTGCTGGCTTAGGGTTTAGGGTTTAGGGCTTAGGGTTTAGGGTTTAGGGTTTGGGGTTTGGGATTTAAGGGTTTAGGGCTTAGGGTTTAGGGCTTAGGGTTTGGGGTTTGGGGCTTAGGGTTTGCGGTTTAGGGCTGAGGGTTTAGGGTTTAGGGCTTAGGCTTTAGGGTGTCTTACTGAGAGGGTGCGCTGGTGCTGAAAGCGCCCAGGCGCGCACCGGGACTTGCAGGAGCCCACCCCCGCGGCGCTCCACCCTTGCCTCGACCTTTTACGGGTTCAGGGTTCTCTCGAAATCTCATCGCGCTCCTGTCTTCTTATTTGTTTTAACAACCTGTCTAGACCAGGCGGGTGCAAGGTTTGGTTGAGTCTGGCATGAGGCTTTTTGCTTGCTTGAACCAGTTGGACCTGTCCAGACCAGACGAGCACAAGGTTTGGAGTTGGGTTTGGCTCGAGGCCCCCAGTTTTCTCCAGATGAAGTCTTGGCTGGACGCCTGATCCTGGATGGGCGGGAGCGAGGCATCGCAAGGCCCAGAGGCGAACGATCGCGGCTTGCGAGCCTTGAGCCGACCAGACTTTGCAAGCCCTCGAGCCCCCTGGCAAAGACTTGTCAGCCCTGGTAGGGTTGCAGGAGGTTTTGCTACAAGGTTTTTGTGAAAGACTCTACTAGCAATTGAGGTGGAAGGCTCGTATAAACGTGGCCGAAGGCCTGGGAGGGCTGCGGGCCTCTGAGCCACAGGAGGCCTGGAGGATCCTAAACACCCTTCCACGCTTGCAGTTTGCAAGGCCCCCAAGACTCCTGGAGAAGGTTTGGGGTTACTTATTCTCGGGTTATTCGTGAAGGACGCGCCGGGTGAACACGGAGCGGCTTCTCGGCACGTTCGCCCTGCTCGACGGCCCCGGGTTAGAGTTTAGGGTGTCTCAGTGAGGGGGCGCGCTGGTGCTGGAAGCACCCAATCGCGCACCCTGACCTGCTGCTCCATCCTTGCCTCGACCTTTACGGGTTTAGGGGCCTCCAATCTTGAACAAATGCACCTGTCTACGGCAGGTGGGTGCAAGGTTTGGGCTGGGTCTGGCTCCAGGCTGCTCGTGCTTATTGAGCTTCAGCCTTCCAGGCGTCCGGACAAGACGGGCAAGGTTTGGATTTGGGTCTGGAAGGTGGAATTGTCCAGACTAGACGGGTGCCAGTTTGAGTTTCGGGGTGGTTGGAGGCCTCTAGTTTTCTTCAGAGCCTGATTGGATGCCTCCAATCTTGAACATCTTGAACTGAAACTCTTTACGGCAGGTGGGTCGAAGGTTTTGGCTGGGTCTGGGTCAAGGAGGCCTGTGAAGGCTTTGGTGGGAGGCCCTGCTGGCCCCAAGCCGCTTTTGGGTGCCTGATGGCAGGTTTCTGGGAGCCTCCTGCAAAGCCTCTTAAAAAAGTGCCCAAAACCGGCGTTTTCGAGCCAGAGAAGCCTCAGAGACCCTGGGGCGGCGCGTTCGCCCTGCTCGACGGCCCTGGGCTCACTCAGTTTAGGGTGTAGGGTTCAGAGTTTAGGGCTTAGGGGTTAGTGTTTAGGGTTTAGGGCTTAGGGCTCAGGGTTTAGGGTTGCTTTAGTAAGGGGATTCTGGTCACCCCACCCCCTAGAATAAGGACCCTGTCATGATCATATGATAGATATGCGGTCCAGATTGGGTTGGGGCAGGTAACAGATTGGGTTGGGGTAGGTAAAATCCTCTAGTCTAGTCATGCTTAAGGGCTGGGTTAAGGACGTGGGTCGAAGGTCTAAGGGGCATTTAGGGTTTAAGGCTGAGAATTTAAAG